CAGATTTCGTGATCCGTTTGCTAAATGTGATTGGTCAGGTGAGTATAAGTCAACGAACTCTGGTGGTAACTTTGATCACAGAAAAAGATTAGTAAGTAGTCAAGAGAGCAAAGGCATACAGGGTCTTAACCGTCCTTTAATAAGGTAGTATAAAAAAAACTTTCACCGCCAATATCTATGCTCAAATATTCCTTTTGCATCTTTGTGCGAAACTTCTAAAGAAAACAAAACAAATCTCCTTGGTGATTTTAGGCAGGACCAGTTCTGAGTACAGGGGGCCCGGTTGCAAGAATTAATGGTGGGTTCACCTGACTACAATGTACATAAAATTATATATATAGATATATATGCATGAAAGAGAGGGAGATTAGAGACAAAAAAATATAACTGTACATGATGAATCTGAATCTTAATTTTAGTAACGATCTACCCAGTTTTCAGACATAAAAAAAAGGAAGCAGATGCAATAATAACGATGAAAAAGAAAATATACTTACAAAATTCAATTTCATTCGAAATTAGATTTTCTTCCACTATCACTGGCCCACTCTTCTATGAGGTTTTCTATTATCATCAGTATACTACGAAATTGTTAGCTTTATGAACTACCAGTGTCTTTTGAAACGTTTTACACATAATTATAAAACTGTTTTGCTTTTATTCATATGAGATGTCCAAGACATAGACAGCTTTAGAAAGTGACAACAACTGGCAGTAAAAACTTCTGAAACGAGCGAATGTATTTATACAACAATTTATGTAATGGTCTTTCTTTTCTTTTTTCTGTCGACAAGATGGCATTTTTCAATCCAAGATCGAATGATATCAAAATATAATAAAAGTTAAAATTATAAATTTCTGAAGGATTGATTGTTGTCAAGCGCAAAGCTACATAATAGGCTATTTGTGCTTATCACGGGTATCGAACTCTGGTTTCAGCATTATAAGCCTTCAGATTTATCGCTACTGGGAGACATTTCTAAAGGAAACCTAACTTATAAAATCAATATTAATTTACCAAATGCAGCATTATTCCAATTTCAATAAAAATACTTCAGAACATAATAATAATATGTATGTACGAAATGCAAAACTAATACACTACATTTAGAAAGAAAAAAAAAGCCCACATCTATGTGAGAATGATTTGGAATTTCTAAAGTAGAACAGGTTTGAGAATTCCGGCTGATGAAGCCACGTAAATTATTATAAAACTACGAACAGGTTATAGATATTGTTTATATTTTCAGTACGTACAGGGTATAGATATAGTTGATAGGTTCAGTATGTACAGGGTATAGATACTTTCATTTGATTCAGTACCAGAGTAAAGAAAGGAAGGTATTACGACATAGCGCGTGTGATTGGTGGTCTTCGTCACGGTCCATGTGATTCATGATTTCTTTTAAGTTCTGTTTTCTTTATAAAGTCAAGGCTTACATACAAATAGTTAGCATTAACTAAGAGGTTAATAGGCTACTGTAACAAAACGTGATGCAGCTTCAGATAATGTTGTTCAAATCCAAGCTACTTGAGAAAGTTATCAAATACACTGCCACCTATAGAGAAATGTATGAAATATGTTATTTTCTTGGTACAGTTGAATAAAAATACTTCATTTTAATCGTTTTTTTTCTGATCAACCTGAAAATGGAGTTATTTGGTAAGTTTTCAAAGTATTCATTGCATTTTAGCAATGGATTCATGATGGGGAAATGAAGTTTAATAATAAAGATGAAAATGGTTGACAAAACATAAAACCTTTTATTCACAAGGTTCGAATGTTTCAGAATACACTTATTCCATTTTCAGCGAAATCTGAAAATAGTGTTACAAAGATATTTATTATTATGACTATTGTACACTAGTTTACTTTGTTATTAATTAAAATGGTAAACGGAAGGATAAAACAAAAACAAAATATTATAGATATATTCCAGAATGTTTGAACATTGTAAAGGAAATGTTTTGTGTTTTGTCAACCCGTCTTCATCTTTATTATTAGAATTCATTGCTCATGTTAAATTACCATTATCACTTTAAGTAATTAAGGTTCTCGAGACGAATATTTTGATCGATTAAGACGGTCATTTTCTAAACGAAAGTATATTTTTATAAAATTACATAGAAATTCGCTATGGCAATCAAACAAATTATATATGAGCTACTTTCGATTTGTACACCTTTAAAAGTCCTACACAATGGAAGGAACTGACACCTGAAATGTTATTATTCAGGAATTCTAAGAGTTTCAAGAATTGACATGGTAATTCTTCATAACAATATTCTTTAAATCCAAATGAATAAGTTTATACTTATTTTGCCTCCTTTCTTTCAAGACTTGTAACTGTTAGGACAATTTAAATCGAGATACGCTAAGTCACCAATACCCCTTACATGGAAGGAACATTTAGAAATTTAAGATTCACATAGTTAGTATTCCGGTGAAGGCAGAATGTTTTTCTAATCTTTTATTCAATATCTTTCAGTTAAGAATATGTTTCAGATAATTTAAGGTTATAAAAATAGCGCATTGAATATGTTTATCATAAGTCTTTAATTGTTTCCACACACATTCTTATTCTGCAATAAGAAATAAATAATTACATTTTCACAAATGATGAGTAGGGATATATTTACACAGCTAGTATAATTCACCGGCGAATGTTAAAAAACAAATGAAAAAATATATGTAGTATCTTGTTTCAATGTCGTCGTAACACTGAAAAAACAATTAAGTGTATTTACCCCCATTAATTCCCATAATAGATTAATGAATATAACAATGTAAGACATTTTCCTGTACTGATTTTCCCTTGTAGGCAGAGATTTTCAAAGCATAAAATGCTACAAAAAGAAAGAACAGACCTGCTATTTTTAACTTACCTATGTAGTTAACCGTAGTATGTAAATAAATTATATAGATATTTTAAACTGGACAAACGTTTTAAGTTTCTGGTAATAACACAATAGAAAAACAAACCAATACAGAGTTAACTAAATAATTATACAATAGGTCAATTTTAGTATAAATATTGTTTTTAAAACTATAACTTTGAAACCATTTTAAACTGGATATTGTTTGTTTTTACGCATAAATCTACACCATTGCAGAGATCGAACAACCAATTTTAGCACTCTAAGTTCATGCAGACTAACTAGACTCATACTAGGTAAAGTATTTTATGCAAAACGAAAACGGCGCCTTCTTAAACATTTTATGGCAGTTTTAGTAATTATTTGATACATTACATTTCAGTTTACTGTGATACGTTACAATACACGTAAAGATTAGAGCTTTATCTGGTATCTTGAACTAAGATGTTATATTAAACTAATATAAATGAAACGAATATGTTTATAGTCTGGTTTTAGAAATTACAATATATGTTATAACTTAACTTACACTCTTTATACAAATGTGAAAAAGAGTGTAAAGTCCATATGAGTTTGTATATTTTTTGACTTTTTTCGTCAAAATCAATTTACACGGTAGTACAGTACCTTTTTAATAGCGAAGACTTTGTCTTATTGAATTTGTTCATATACAGTGATTTATCTCTAATATTATACTTTACTTCACAGATCAAAAAATTACTTCTCAAGACACCGAAACCCATATATCCTGAATACAAGATTAATGAAAACCCAATATGTTATTAAACTTGAAGTTTAGGGTAAGGTTGTCACAAGATACTATTGTATTTCCATCCAAGAATTTCATCCGACTAAAGAGCTTCAAAGTTAAGGAATGCATCGAACTTAAAGCTTGAATTAAGTAAACCATTGTAGTTTCATTTTGGGTACCCTTATCAAGTAATTTTCAATTTTATAGAGTCTTTATAAATTTTTGTGAAGAACCTCATAAGCGTTAATTAGTCAAGAACAAGAATTTTCACAACTTATGTCACATTGCTGCTTATCTCTAAACTTTTTGAAGGTTTAAAGCATTCAATAGTAATTGTTTAGTTTGTAAAATGAGTATCATCATGCGGCAGTATTTCAATTCTCACGAGGTTCCAGGTTTGTTATCTCCATATTTCAAAATATACATACCTGAAAGTAAAAACACACCATTCTTTGATTAGGAACTTAGAAAAATAAATGTCTCCGTAGTAACATCATTTATGCAACGATGCTTTATAAAAACAATACAAAGGAAGCTGTGGGAAAAGAAAAACATATTTTCATCATAGATAATTAGGGTTTACACAATATAGCATATTAGGAAACTGAATTATGTTATGAACGTTCCAACACCTTTGTTAATTGTTTTTTATTGCATAATTACACGTTTGTTTTTTAGAAAGGTGAAAGAATCATTAAATACATGAAATGTAAGTGTGACGAATAAAAGATTGAATTACTATATACAAATTCTATAATATCATTTCATCACTTAAGGTACATAATCTAAACTTTGCAATATTTCGTCTTTTCAAATATACACAGTGTACATTGTGGCAGTGCTAATGTTATGTTTTTATATAAAAAACTATTCGCATAAACTTAAGAATTAACCTAACAATATTCTATGTCTCCCAATACAAAAATTTAAAACCTAACTTAACAATATTCTATATCTCCCAATATACAAATTTAAGACCTGACCTAACAATATTCCATATCTCCCAATACACAGACTTAAAACCTAATTTAATAATATTCTATACGACACAGTACACAAACTTAAGACTTGACCTAATAATACTTTATGTTTCCCAATACACAAACTTAAGACCTGACTTAACAATATAACTCTCTTTCCCATATTATTTTCGCCCATTTTTTGTTAGTACAGACTTTCGTTCACGAACAAGTATTACAAAATAAAGCAAAAAAAAACACGTTATGTTCAAAATAAATTAGTAAAATTACAACAAAATGAAGATAATTAGGAGATTTAGTAGCCCTATCATACATAAAATCTTTTCTAGTAAATAACGTTGAGATAAGTGAAATTTCTGCTTTCTACTCAAGTACAATGATAATAAGCGTATATGGCGTATATTCATTTTTGCATGGTAAGAAAGTAATGATATTAATCGCTATTAATTCAGAAGACTAAATGGTTAGATACGTAAAAATTAATTAAAACTTTCGTTAACTTGACTATGTAAAGGTATAAAACCAAGTTTAAAACTAAAAATCTGAACTGAAAATGACATTACTAATAAAGAATTCATAAAGAAAACCATAAGATATAAGCACGTGTAGGGTAAGAAATCTTTCAGAATTAAAATAAAACAGTTTTATTCTTTGATATGCAGTAAATATAAAATAAAGTTTATAACATTTTCTGAATTCAAATTCAAGGTTACTTGTTTGATATAATAATTCTAATGAGGTAAAACCCCTCAAAACACTTAAGCACTTTTCAGTTATGCAACAATAAACTAGGCCAATAAATCATATTAGATACAGGCCGAAAGGAAACAGGAGTGAATATTATCTAAGACTATTTTAGTTTTGTGCTTGTTTTTTGATATAGCGTGTAACTTTGACAAAGTTTCTAGCAATAGTGCTCGTTTTTAAGATCTTTCACACGTGAACAATATATATATTATCATATTTGTATGTGAAATTAGCATCCTAAACTCACGTTGAAGACATGATTTAACGATCATCATATATTTTGTAGCCAGCTCATATGTTTCTAAGAACTGCATTAATATAATTTATAAAACAGCTTTCGATCTGTTGAAAGCATTGCCGTTTTGCTGTCTTCACATCTTTAATTTTAAAACTCAAGATAAAAGACATTGTTACACAACTATGCCTGCAACAAATATAAAAACACACACCTAAATAAAACATAATAGGTAACCTCAGCAACCAGAGCAACGCCCTCTAGCTTGAAGGCATACCTATATACCTGTAGCGCCAATACGGTGACTTATTTTTACTTTGGCATAATTAATATTGCTCAGGCATACTGCCAGAAGGCACTGTTGGTTGTTTTACTTTAAAATTCTAGCACATTACCATCGAAAGTGTTTTAAGGTCATGGAAGTATGGAAAGCAGATATGACTACAGGGTATTGGAGAGATCAGTGACAGTGACATTAACGTCATTTCCGGTTTTATTATTCCAAAATCTAAACGTTCAGCCAATCAAATCGTGTGGGGTTGCTAAATAGTTTAGTTGGTGCTCTATGCGTCCTTCTAGGGTATAAATAGCGCAGAAAACAGACCAAAAATCAATTCAAATCCATCTGTTCTACTCGGATAATTTAGTGAAACATTAATTACTTCAGGTGGCCAAGATGAAGAGTGTAAGTTTTCTTATCCTGTTCTTTGTATATAAATCTGTGGGTCATAAGCATACTCATTGTTTAACTTTAACATTAAATTTATGTACGTATGATATATAAGCTTTATAAAATCTTACTCAGACTGACACAAACTGTCATCTTGTTATAAGTAATAATACTGTAAGAGAGTAGAATACAAGACCTTTACTTTTCAAATAAATGTCAACTCAATGTGAACTTTCCACAGCTTTTTGTCGTTGCTATTTTGTTCATCGCGGCAGTTGTTGCCGAAGATAAGAAAGAGGAGATGAAGGAAGCTGAATCTTACGTCGCTCCTGCCGTTTACGGACACGGTGCCTATGGCCACGGATATGGTGGCTACGGACATTTGGGAGCAGCCTACGGTGCCCACGGCTATGGAGGTCTTGCTGCAAGCGCTCGCCATGGAGCTTATGGATATGGTGCTCATGGACTCAACGCCAACGCTGCTCATCGCAACCTGAACGCCTATGGTGCCCAGGGCGGCTACGCCGGACATTACAGAGATATCGGTGCTTACGCCCGCAACAAGGGAGCCGGATACGAGAAGGCTTACTCTTATGATAAGCAGGCTCGTTACCACAACCGTGGTGGTGCCGCTGCTGGTTATGGCTCTCGTTATGGTCTCCATGACAACTATGGCCACTCCAACCTTGGTGCCTACGGCCGTTATGGACATGGTGCCTATGGTGCTAATGACCTGTCTGCTGCCCATGGCTACGGTGCCTATGGTCGTCTAGGAGCTGGATATGGTTCTCATGGCTACGGGTATGGCAACTATGGTCACGGATATGCCCCCGCCTACTACGGTTATGGTTACCACTAAATTATTTGGGTAAATATTTACTTATATTTTAGTCTTAGGTGTTTACTTGCTTCTTTGAATCACAATGTTTTAAGAGAAGATATAAGATGCTTTTTTTTCAGTATTATATTTCGACTAGCTTCTTCTTATCGTCTCAACTGCTTTCTCATAATCTCTATGCAGTTGGATACTAAGATTATATAGCTCTTTTCATTATCCTTCAAACTTGGCCCACTAATTATGTTTGAACAGGACACTGATTCAGAACAACTTCCCGTTTTTCATTTTTACCATAATTTGGTGTGTTATACGAATACTATAAATATTACAAGGGAAGATACAATATTATTGACATATTATATTAAATAGATAAGTCCTGATTTAATCCTGATCTATGTAGGTAGCTTGCTTTGATCTGAAGTTAATATTAATCTGTTATTGCTCACAACCCTAATTATTGTTTTAGTTAATTTCCCGTTTCACTATAACTTTACTCCTTTGTAGCTCAGCGGCAAACTTGAACGCTTATAATGCTGAAATTTGGAGTTCAGTCTCTGAATATTTGGCCTATATTAATTCTAATAATATTTTATATTGAATATGTTTTCACGTCTGTTTATCATTAATTTATGCTATTGTTTTTTCTCCTTCTCCTATAGCCATCTGAGAACATCTTGGCCTTCCTGCGACTCAGGGAAAAACAGTGTTCAACCTCGAAACGTGTCCGAAGAAACTTATAATTTTAATATATAAAAAATGACACTTCTTTACTCGTAACCTTTGAACCTACTATACCAAACTTCCATTTCTGACCTTTCTAGTTCTCAGAAGTTTTTCTCTTCTTCATCGTTTCACTTTTTATCTATTTAAAATGTGCTTCTTTATATCTGTTATCGTCAGTATTCTGTTATTTATTGTACACATTGTTAATTGAAATAAAATAATGTTACTATTAAAAACTATGATGGCATTTAAATTATTACTTTAAGGTTAGGAAAATATCCTTTTCACATTTCAAAATATCCATTTCAGCAATGGATGATCATTTGTTAATCAAAGTGCTCTAGTACAGAACTTTTAACAAATAATTCTCGCATTTATTTATTGTGCGGTGATAATAAAACACAATTGCTCCAAATGAAGAACACTTTAGCTTTCATAGACTAATAAGCGGTTACGTTAGCGCACTCCTATCAAATACTGAACTCTGGTCTAAACTAAATATTGTCATGTAACTATATCTGTTTCGGATATTCATGCAAAGCTACACAATGGCTATCTGCACTTGCCGTCCCTAATTCTGAATTGATAGTATAGAGGTACGGCAGCAAGTCAACAGCGCCAACAATTAACTTTTTGGCTACTCTAATTGAATAGTGGGATTTGACTGTCATTCTTATAACGCACTCACGACTCCAAAGTGAAGGGCTCAACTTAGCGGCAACGGCACGCGAACCATGGACGTTTCTGGTCACAGTCCAGCACGCTAAAACGTAGGTCACGCCTAGTCCCAAGCAATAACGAACCTAAAGAGTAAATATGCTATATCTTGCTCTCACCTTACTACGTTAAAATGTTATTAATATTAATCTTCTCTTTCACGCATTATGAAGATACGCTGGGAAGATGTTTTGTTTGAATTTCTTACTTAATAAGGTCGATACTGCATAAAAATAATGTTTTTCTGAAATATATTTGACCAAGTTATGAATGCGTACGTACTTAGAAGTAACATTATTTATTTGAGGAAACAACAAAACTAATTCCATGAAATCAAATAATTAAAATACAACGATTCATGTTTACACAATTAAGAGTTTAATTGTTTGTTTTTGAATTTAGCCCAATGCTACACGAGGGCTATCTGCGCTAGCCGTCCCTAATTTAGCAGTGTAAGACTAGAGGGAAGGCAGCTAGTCATCACCACCCACCGCCAACTTTTGTACCAACGAATAGTGGGATTGACCATCACAATATAACGCCCCCACGGTTGAAAGGGCAAGTATGTTTGGTGTGACGGGGAAGAGTTTACTAAAGCCGTCAATTGTTTATTTGATGTTAAAAATTAAACAAATGACGATCATTCATACTTGATAATTCCGTGGTTTATTTAGACTGTTATCTGGAAGTAAAAAGCTTTCAACTACAGAATTAAAACATTTATATGTGTATTAAGTAACCAAGATAGATTTCTGACCTGTACGTTACAAAGTGCAGTAGAGGGATAACATGAATCGCTCATTTCAAACTGAAAAATATTCTGAACTTTAAAGCAATATCTTCAGCATTATGTACTCACGTATTGTTCGCGCCATATATATAGATCTATATAGAGAGAGACGTTCAATATGTCGAGATGTGTCTATGGCCACAAAACAAGAATGTTCTTCTTCGTTACATTTTAATATGATAACTAACAAACGTTTTAGTGTATTTAAGGAATAAAGAGGAATTCTTGACACGTCCTAAACAGAAGACCAAAAAATAATTTCTTTGTATATAAGGGTTGTTACTAACATTGTTTGCTATTTTGTTTAAGGGATTTCCAATTAAAATAGTAAATTTCGTAAAAATAAAGAAAACACGTTATAAAATTTAATAACAGTGCGATGGGTTTCAGCGTTTACACAGTAGTTTTAAAGTCTAAACCATCCTTGTCAAATTTAACGGAATTTCTTTAATGTTTACTCCAGATCCTGAATTATCTGAACCTCTGAGTTCATGCTCTCATACTTTTGAGCTATAGATTCACCACAAGAGTGACGACCAAATCGCACTTTTCGATCAAAGTAGCTCAAAATTTGGACCTGTTGACTAGCTGCCTTCCCTCTAGTCTATGACTTTTAAATTAGAGACGACTAGCGCACATATCCTTGCATATCAGAAATAAAAAAAACATTCCATCGAAGCAATACCTAACCTTTACTGGTGTTATAGATACTAGTATGAAAATATGAAATAGCGTTGATAACCTTACGTATTTCTTTTATCAGAAATTGCGTATGTTTGTGTGTGAGTGTGCAGATGTATATATATATCGGGATATGAAATAAATAGCTAGTTTATAAAATTTGAAGTGTACATCTACAAATAATTGTACAATAGTAATCAGAGTTATCAAGGATCAAACAAATCCTACTTTCGTTAACTTGTGTTTCATGATTACAATTGTAACATTAAATTATTATCTGAATTATCATTCAGTCCAAGAAAAATTTACTCTGAGGAAGTGACCCAGTGGCACACAACTCTGTTCATAAGGTAACATCAGAAGTTAACTGGAACTGACCACTGTAACCGTACAAAGGATCAGAATTTTCTATAACATCATATATTGACAAGACTAATTAAAACATTGTCGTTTTATAAAACCAGCTTTGAAATAAGTAAGTGAGAATAAATAGATAGAAAGCCCATTTGAGTGCTATATCGTTGAGTTGGTGTAATTCTGTTTTATAGACTTTTCTTCGATAACCAGTGAAATAAGTATAAAAAGAAAATCCGCTTACACAGTTATGTCCTGTAAAGAGTGAAAAGATCAAATCCCTCCCATTCAAAAACGGAACATAGGATCCGGTGATGGGCGCTTTATAAGAGATTAAATTGTAGTAGTTCAGAGTGCTAGTCTGTACTTTGAATTCCTGTCGCCTAGTTGCGAAAAAAATACCAGAATACCATGTAAAAGTTTATGGTTCTTAGGAAAACATAACATAATATGTTTCTCTTAGCCTAACGGGACGGGTGACATCGATAATTCATTTATTTTTCTTCAGCTATAACTAAAATTAAAGCTATAATCAAAATAAAATAAAAACTATATTAAGCGCAATGCTACTAATTAGGCTATCTGTGCTGTGCCCACTACAAGTAAATAAATAACTAGTTTATAAAATCTGAAGTGTACATTTACAAACTATTACACAATAATAATTACAGTCGCCTAATGTTTCAGTCAAGGAGCAGTTACTGATGTTAACTGCTTAAAAAAACAACATCAGATGTGCCTAGACTCACGCTTTTGTGATCTTTATACAATTTATTTATTTTTCACCATCCATTGGTGTAAACTAAGTGGCTGACCATTGTTACGAAAGGTCCTAATACTAGGTGATAAATCGTTGCTGTTAAAGGTACCAGGTATTTTGCTGTTACTATTAAAAGTACTAAGCTAGGTGTTAAGCTGTTGCTATGAAGTATATTATATTAAGTGAATTATCTCTGCTGTGAAAGGTAACAGACTGAATTTATTGACCGTTGCAGGTAAAAGCCTCAAACTGTATGAATGAACGTTGATGTTAAAGATACCAGATATGAAAAAATACTGTAAGATTACTTTGCATTTTTGAGAGTTTGAAAACAAAACAAGTTATCATCAGGTCGATTTACCTCTAAAGATGCCTTATAAGAAGAGTTTAAATTGCTTTAGTTAAAGAAAATATATTGATATTCTCTGCAAATAAAACTAGTGCTTTGCTCACTTTGTATAATCCGGTTGAAAAAAGTTTCATTCAAATTACTCATGAAACTTATTGTCAATGGTATTCAAGGTCAGTTATATGTATACAAGTGTAAAACACATAAGAAATTAATTTCCTAAGTTTTGATCTGTGATCAAGACTAGCAAATACTCGACATTTAATAGTATTACAGCTAAATACGTTTAAATGTTCTATATAAAATTCTTACACTTCCAGATATTTGCTTAATTCGAAAGGTTATTAGTTTGTACGGATTATAGGTAGCAGGATCAAATTCCGTCGCCAAAATGCTCACCCCTTTTAGCCATTCGTTGATAAAAGAGTAGCCCAAGAGCTGGCGATGGGCGGTGTTGAGTGAATCCAATATTATCAGATGTTAACAGTCAACAAACCAATGAGATCTATGCAGCTTATTCTCTATGAATTTGAGTACTTGGAAAGGTCTGAGTTACGTAAACAGTAAATCATCCCCAAAATGTTCAGTATCATTTTGCCTGACGATATCCATCAGCAGTGAAATCTTGAAGTTTTTATAGAGAATAT